ATTAAAAAAAAAAATTTTAAAGGGAGGGGGGATTGGAGAAATGGCTCAGCAGTTAAGATCACTGGCTGCTCTTGCAGAGGACCCAGGTTCAATTTCCAGCACGCATACGGTGGCTGACAACCATTTGTAACTCCAGTTCTAGGAGATCTGATGCCTTTCTCTTGCCTCTGTGGGCATTGTATGTGGGTACACTCACATACATGCACACAAAACACTCACACATAAAATAATAAAATATTAAAAATATACATGAGCAAATAATGTATTGTATGATCAAGAAAATTAGGGAAGACTTCTCTGAAGAGGTGAATTCAACTGAATTCAGAGACCTGAATTCAGAGGTTAAGGGCAGTGGGCATTTGAGAGAAGAGCCCTGGAAAAGGCATGTGCAAAGGCCCTAAGGTTCTAACATGCTTAATATGTCCTTAACTAGTCTCTTAATGGTGGGTCAAACTTACCAAAGGGAACTGCTGTAATTGAGGCATAGGAACAGAGCCTAGAGCATTTGTGGGCAGCCTGCTGTGTTATTGGCACTGGAAAACATGGCTAAGGACCATTTATCTCTGACAGGATTTTAAGGAAATTACCAGCCAGGCCTAGTGGTACATGCCTGTAATTCCAGTACTCAGGAGGCAGATGCAGGGTCATTGAAAGTTTGAAGCCAGCCTGGTCTACATATGGAGTTCTAGGCTAACCAGGGCTGCAGAGCAAGATCCTGTCTCAAAAAACAAAACATCGGGGCATGGTGGCACACTCCTTTAATCCCAGCACTTGGCAGGCAGAGGCAGGTAGATCTTTGTGCCTGGCCTACATAGTGAGTTACAGGCCAGCTGGGGCTACAGGGAGACTCTGTCTTAAAAAGACAAAACAAAACAAAACTGAAAGAAAGAAGGGACCACAAGAGAACTTAGTGAGTAAAGACATTTGCAACCAGACTGACAACCTGAGTTCATCTCTGGGACCCAGATGGTGGAAAGAGAGAAGCAACTCCCACAAGCTGTCCTCTGAGCTCTACATGCACAATGTGGCATGTGTGCATGTGTATAAACAAACACAAATAAATAATGTAGTAAATTTTTAAAAAGAAGAAACAACAAACTAAAAAGTGGACTGGGGGTGTGACTCAGTGGTAGAGCCCCTGCCTAGAATCCCCCCTCAAGGGCTGGGGGTGTGGCTCAGTGGTAGAGGACCTGCCTAGAGTCCCCAAGTGAGGGGCTGGGGGTGGCTCAGTGGTGGAGCACCTGCCTCGAATCCCCCAGTGAGGGGTTAGAGCCCTTGCCTAGCTATGCGAGGCCTGGAGTTGCATCACTGGGCATTTCTCTAGTTGCTGGTAAACAGCAGTGAGCACACTAAAGCCTTGCCTGGTAGAGCTGACCTAGGAGGATTAGACAAACAGATCCCACACCCAGGGGAAATGAGTGCTTAGAGAAATCATGTAGAGCTAAGGGAGGGACAAAGGTCTGGCAGCCACTCTAGGGGACAAGCAGAAAGGTCTCCCAGAGGAGATAGCACTACAGCCTTAAGGCCTAGAGGAAATGAAGGAAGAACAGGCAGGTGTGGGGAGGGAAAGGTGTTTCCAGCTCTAGGGATCAGCAAGTGCAAAGGCCCTGAGGCAAGATCAGGCCTAAATAGGTTTGAAAACCATCTAGGTAGTGGGAATTAGTAAACCAGAGGGAGAGGAAGCCCAGGATGTGAGGTCAGGGCTGAATGGAGACAGGTGGTGCAGGGCCTTGGAGACCCCAGGCACTTTTCTTTTTCTTCTATTTTTCTTTTTCTATCCTATTTTATTATTATTTGTGTATGAGCATATTGCCTGCATGTATGTAAGTGCACCTGTCTCATGCAGTGCCTGCAGAGGCCAGAAAAGGGTGTCAGATCCCCTGGAACGGGAGTTACAGACAGTTGTTAGCCACCATGTGGGTGCTGGGAAGTGAACCTTTTACTCTTGAGTGTAGTCAGAACCCCAGGAGGGTTTGAGAACAGAAAGGGCTGTATCTGGCTAATATTTTTGTTTTGGACTTTTTTGTTGTTGTTTTCTTGTCTGTTTTTTTTGAGACAGGGTCTCCCTGTAGTCCCAGCCCTGATCAAAGAGATCTACTTGCCTCTGCCTTCCAAGTATTGGGATTAAAGGCATGTACCAATGTCTTGGTAGGCTAGTATTGTTTTAATGTTTAAATTATTTGTGTTTGTGTGTGTGTATACATGTGTTTACATTTGCATGCACATGCCATAACACTCGTGGAGGTCAGAGGACAACTTTCAGAAGTCAGTTCTCACCTTCCACATGTAAGTTCTGGGGATCAAACCATCAGGCTTGGTGATAAGCACGTTTACTCAATGAGTCATCTCACCAGCCCATCTAGCTGGTAACTTTAAAATCTTTTTTTTTTTTTAAATCTTTTTGAGACAGGGTCTTCCTGTAGCCCCAGCTGTCCTGGAACTCACTATGTAGACCAGGCTGGCCTTGAACTCAGAGATCAGCCTGTCTCTGCCTCCCTAGAGCTGGGATTAAAGGCGTGCACCACCACGCCTGGCTTAAAATCTTTTTAAAATGACATTTTATTTATTTTGTGGGCATGTGTGCAACAGCATGTATGCAGAGATCAGGAGACAACTTGCAGAAATTGGTGGTTCTCTCTTTCCATCAAGTGGTTTCAAGGGATTGAACTCAGGGTGTCAGGCTTGGCAGCAAGTGCTGAGCCATCTCTCTGGTCCCAATGCAGTGTTTAAAAAACAGCTTTTTAGGCCTGGAATGGTGGTGCACACCTTTAACCCCAACATTTGGGAGGCTGAGGCAGGTGGATCTTTGTGAGTTTGAGGCCAGCCTGGTCCACTTAGTGAGTTCCAGGTCAGCTGGGGCTACAGGGAGACCCTGTCTCAAAAAGACCAAAACAACAACAAAACAGCTTTTTAGGGCCAGTATAGAGGTGCATGCTTTTAATCCAGCATTCAGGCGGCAGAGGCAAGTGGATCTCTGTGATTCAAGACCAGCCTGGTCCACATAGTGAGTTCTAGGCCAGCTAAGGCCACAGGGAGACCCTGTCTCAAAAATAGGAAGGAAGGAAGGAAGGAAGGAAGGAAGGAAGGAAGGAAGGAAGGAAGGAAGGAAGGAAGGAAGAGAAGGAAAAGAAGGAGCCTCCAGCAGCTTGAAGGATTAAATGGCCATTCCCTAGGCAAGGGTGGCTGAGGAAGGAGAAGTGGGGGTGGTCAGCAGCTAATCTCATTGGGTGAGGTTGGGGTGCCATTAGATAATGTGTACTGTTATATCGCACCCCTGGAAACACTTGAGAGCTTAGGCCTGCGCTCTGGCAAAGGTTCAGGTCATCCTGGGCTGTGGGTCTCTGTGTGCAGACTGCTGTAGTCTAGGATTATAAATGAGGTGCCAGATGAGTAGAGGTGGATGAAGTCCAGCAGGCTGGAAATGAACTGGGAAATCCTGGCATCCTGACTGGTGCGAGCTTCCAGATGACCAGCATGTCAGCCTCCCCACCTCCCCCTGAGAGGTGCAGTGTCCAGATGATCCAGAGCTTTGTGGAACCTTAGCTTTTTCTCTGTGGGAGATGGGACTTCTGGGGACAGCGGAGGACTCTTAAGACGCTGTTGGTTTTCACCAAGTTGAATGTCTTGATTCCTCTGTGTTCAAAGACTGACCTCTCCTGGACCTCTACTCTATGATGTGTTCTGATTTGGGTTTTATCATTATTTCCAATACTATTACTGTTCCTTTTCTTTTGTTTAAGACTCTATAGCCCAGGCTGACCTTAAACTCACTATGTAACCCAGACTGGGCATGAACTTCAGCTAATCCTCAGGACAAGTGTTAGAAGCATGAGTCACCATGCCCACCTTGTTTGGTTTTGTTGGGGGATAGGGGTCTTACGTGCCCAGGCTGGCCTAGAACCCACCAGTGAGGAGCTGGAGTTGGATCTCTATGGTAGATGACTCAGCTATAGTCCACTAGTGAAGGGCCTGGCTTGAACTCTTGATCCTCCTGCTTCAGTTTCCCAAGTGCAGGGATTATATACGTGTACAACCAAGCTTGAAGAGTATCCTTTTTTATATTTTTTAATGTTGTATTTATTATTTTTATTTTATGTGTATGAGTGTATTGCCTGCATTTTTGTAAGTGCACCTGTGTCATGTAATGCCTGTGAAGGTCAGAAGAGGGCGTTGGATCCCCTGGAACTGGAGTTACAGATGGTTGTTAGCTGCCATGTGGGTGCTGGGAATCAAAACCAGGTCCTCTGCAAGAACAGGCAGTGCTCTTAACCACTGAGCCATCTCTCCAGTGGGAGTGAGTGTGTGTGTGCCTGCACAAAGGTGAGTGCCTGCTCACCCACACTGGAATACCACAGCATGCATGTGGAGGTCAGCAGACAACCTTTGGAAGTTGGTGTCTCCTCAACCATGTGGCTTCTGGGGACTGTAGTCAAGTCACCAGGCGTGGCAGCAAGTGCTGTTACCCAGTGAGCCATCTCTCCTGATCAAGAGCAATCTCCTTAAAACATAGTAAATCAGGGGCTGGAGAGATGGCTCAGTGCTTAAGAGCACTGACTGCTCTTGCAGAGAACACAGGTTCCATTCCCAGCACTTACATGGCAGTTAACAACCGCTCATAACTCCAGTTCTAGGGGATCTAAGGCCTTCTTCTGTCCTCCACAGGCTGTGTAGGACATGGGTACACTTCTACACGTGCAGGCAATACACTCATACACATAAAATAAAATAAAATATAAAATAAAATAAAACATAGTAAATCAAGCCAGGTGTGGTGGTAATCCCAGCACTTGGGAGGCTGAGGCAGGAGGATTGGGAGTTGCAGTCTAGTCTAGTCTGCATTACACAGGGAGTCCCTGTCTCAATGAAGGAAAAGACAGAAACGACTGAGAGATTGCTCTAGAGCAGGAAACCAAAGGAGGAATAATAATGCCTTGAAGGTTCATGCATAATGATCTCTCATCTCGCTCTCTCTGACTCTGTGTCTCTCTCTCTCTCTCTAGATACCCCAGCCCACAGCAAGGGGGACTCCAGCAGCCCGGAGCCCTGGTCCAGGCCGGCTTGCAATCCCCAGGAAGCCAAGGAGCGTGAGTCCCCGCCCCCTGCAGTCCCGCAGACTGTCCAGCTAAGGCTCCACGTGGGATTCTCCCCCCCCCCCCCCCCCCCCCCGCCGCTAGTCCAAGTGGCACCCTCATCCCCCAGCCCCCCACCTCCTCCTCCTCGGCCTCCGCCCACCTCAGCCCCAGACCAGTCCCTGGACTTCCTGCGAGCACAGCAGGAGACTGCCAATGCCATCCGGGAGCTGGCTGGCACCCTCCGGCAGGGATTGGCAAAACTGAGCGAGGCCCTCAGTGCCCTCTTACCCCTTCTGCCTGGAACCCCAGCTGACCCGCAGCCCTCACCCCCACTCCCGCCGCCACCCCCACCTGCCAGGCCGGTTCTGCCACCTCCTGCCCCCAAAGTGGAGATCACCCCAGAGCCTGTGTCCGTGGTGGCCGCTGTCGTGGATGGGGCTGTGGTTGCAGCTAGGGGAGTCATCATCTCCCCTCGGAGCGAGGAAGGGGTGCCCAGACCACCCCCAGCTCCTCCCCTGCCTCCCCATGACTCACCCCCACACAAGAGGAGGAAAGGTTTCCCCACGCGGAAGAGGCGAGGCCGATGGAAATCTCCTTGAAAGCTACTCCGGTCTACGCTGCTGCCTGCAACCCCTCTCCCAGCTTGGCGCAGTGGAGGGAGGGACGATGCGCTCTGCCCACCCCAGCTGCACCTTGGCTCCCTGCTCCAGGGGAGTGAGCACCCCACCCCCTGTGCTAGTTAGTGCCTGATTCTCTGGGTAGGCCCGAGTGGGCTCCCCCAGCCCCTTTCTCTGGTACTGTGCTGTCTGCCTAGCTGCCTCCTGCAACCCTGACTTCTAAGCCATCAACTTTATGTTATTAAATTACCCTTTGTGGGGTGGGAGGTGCGACATGCCCCTTTGCCTAACAGTTCCTGTTTTTGACTTGAAGAGAGGTACCCGGTGGGGGCTCCCCACCTCCCCAACCCAGACTTCGGACGGGTTGGAAGTTGTTAGACAAATCAGAATATGGATATAGCCTGCTGTACCCTAGGGAGGGGAGGTGGGGTTCTGACTCTGGAGGTGTTAAGTTGGGGCCTCTTCCTTCCCTTGCCATGTATCTGACCTCCGGAGCTCAAGCCCCCCGCCTTTCTCTCAGTGGTAATAAGATATCAATAAACTTATTTTTCATACAATTAAATTGAGGCTCTGAGACAAGCCTTGAAAATCTTGCACTTCAAACGACCCCACCCTCCCTTGACTGGCCACACCCTCTTAGGAGAGGCCACACCTCCTGAATTTGGAGCTAGAGGGTTGATTTTACACCTTTTTTTTTTTTTTTTTCTCGGTAAAGCAATAACTAAACTTGGTGTGGCTGAGTAGTGGGCAAGGTTGTAATCACAGCTACTCAGAATGCTGAGGCAGGAGACCTCGAAAAAAAAAAAAAAGAAATCTTCAAAGAATGTTTCACACTTCAGAGTTCATTAATGTTCATGCAGAAGCTATAAAGTAGAGCAGCTTGGGTGGGTGATTCAGAGAAGGACAGGTTGCCCTGAGGATCAGACTCCCAGTGTACAAGACGAGAACTGGGCTTTTACTGTGTTGAAGAACTTTTAGCAAGGGGACAGTGGTTAATGCTTTTGCAATCCCAGCACTCAGGAGCCTGAAACAGGATTGCCATGAGATCGAGGCCAGACTGTTTCATAGTGAAACCCACCTCTCTCTCTCTCCTCTCTCTCTCCTCTCTCTCTCTCTGTCTCTCTCTCTGTCTCTCTCTCTCTCACACACACACACACACTTTTTTTTTAAATCCAGGTATGGTGATGTATTCTGTAATCTCCATCCTCAGTAGGCTGAGGTAGGAGGATCCAGAGTTTTAAGCCAACCTAGGCTACATAGTAAGACCCTTTTTCCAACAAAACAACAAAAATAATTGGCTGGTGCTCTATCTCCCTGGTAGAGCTCTTAGCATAAGGCCCTGGATTCCATCCCGCACCAAAAATAACCAAGTAAATAAATAGTGCACGAAACCGATTGTGAACATAGTATCTCTTAGAAAACCTTAAAGAATACGTCATTTCTTTTAACGGAGAAAAGTGTTAAAATAATAATACAGGTGGTAGGTATAATTGTGAAACTGAAATAGCAGAAAACAGACTGGAGAAGAAAGCAGGCAGCCGCTCAGGGTGCAAACCAATGAATGCAAACTAGCTAGACGCGCAGATATTTTTGCAAGCATTAAACATGGACTGGGGGCGGGGGGGGGGGACTGATGCAAGCTCGAAACTAGCGACATACAACGCTCCTCCCCCAAAGCTTGAGGAAGAAAACATGGGGGCGCCCAAAGCCAGGCTGGGCCCACCAGGTATTGACCACTCATGGCTGGGGAATAGTGGTCTGACGCTTCCCTCCCCAGCAACCACCTCTTGCTGGCCAACTCTTGGCTCCCTCCTCCATCCAAACCCGGGCTCAACGTTAGGCTCCCCCCACCCTCCAAAAATTCCTGCTTGCAAAGCACGTAAAGAAAGTTGGGGGGGGTGGCGGGAATCGGGAAGGCCTCCCCCAACCTTCCAGGCAGCGGAAGTGCGTCATTTCGTTCATGTCGCAGAGCATTTTGGGAATTGTAGTGAGAAGGGGGCACGCTGAGAGGCCAATGGTTTAACCCTTTGGAGAGAGACCAAAGCAAGCGCGTAGTTGGAACTTGAGTTGAAAGGTGCTCATTCCCCCCACCTTGAACAGATGAGGAAACTGAGGCAGGCACCTGGCTCGAAAGGCTTCAGTCTGCTTTACTCCTCCTGTGAGGACCGAGCCTGAGTCTAGGATCTGAGATTCTGGAGCAAGACAAAGTGCCCAGTAGACATCCTTCTCCAATCCAGTAGCCTGCTTCCCTCCTCTGAAAATATCCAATCAGAGCCTCCCCGCCCCGTCCCAAGAGCTGCTGCCTTCCTAATTCGCCATTGGCCCTTCTTTGAGAGGCGGGGATTCTCAGAGAGGGCAAGAGTCTAGTCTAAAGCTGCTCAGCAAATCAAAGCAGAAATTGCATGTCAGGAGCAGAGCGCAGTCTCACGCCTGTCATCCCAGCACGAAGGAGGCTGAAGCAGGATTGCAATGAGTTGGAGGCCAGCCTGAGCTGAAGAATAAATCCTTGTCTCCAAAAGGAAAAATGAAAAAGGCATGCCCAGCAATTTGTACACCCCAAGTTTTTATGAATCTGTGATAACATGTGATCACTTATATCACATGTCTTCCTCCTTCAACCCCGTGCACATAGTAAGGGGCTGTGCGTGGACAGCCAGCCAGCGGGACCACCCTTACCGCCCGTCCCCTTTAAGAAGCAGCCCCGGCGGGACTACATTTCCCAGAAGGCTTTGCCCGCGCGTTATGTAACTTTCCCTACGAAGCGGCCTCTGGGGCAGAAGAAGGAGGTGGAGGCGGCGGCGGCCTTTGCAGCGGCGGCGGCGGGAGCGGCGGGAG